AAATAAGGAACACAGATCACCATCATTTCGATTACTTTGGTGTAATCTGCCGCGAATACTCATAACAGAAGTATGTCATATCAGAAACAGATAAGTTATGTTTTGGAAATGTTGCCAAGGCCGTCTACAAGACCTTGGATTGGATTTCATTAGGTGTATTTTCAACAGCGCACAGGATAGCATGATACGGAGACATTTGAGGTATGATCTAGGAACGGTGTGACAAGAAATCATGCAAGTTTTTGTTCTGTGTTTTAAAAGGACCGATGGTTGGAGGTTTTTCTCACACCAATGGTATAGAAATGATCACAATAATCAACTCCGAGCGGAGTCCGTTTTAACAGAATTACCTTGATTCAGACTTCCAGCCAGATCAAGCAATGAGTCGACCGATATTGTTTGAACGCCAAGCCACAGCAAAGCGTCCCGACGATTCCTTGTGATCAACCAAGTTGAATGTGGATCAGAACTAGATCGGGTTGACTGAATATGACGGTCGGGGGTGCCATCATCAACAACGGGATCAGGAGATTGATTTGACGTTGGGAGAATAATCAGATCGCTGTGGGGTTCGTACATGTTCAGTTGCGTTATAAGAAGATCAGTGAGAACGCGCAACGGTCGATACTTTACAAAAAGAAAGAATGAGAGCAGTTAGAAAGAGATTCAAATGCAAGGCTGAACATTTTAAAAGATTCATAGGACAATGCGGTGTGACAGATAAATATAACTGTTTTAATAACTGAAAGGGTGAGAAAACCTGGAGTTGAAATTTATCGTTTGCGACAGTGTGAGAAGCATCACACATTGTTAGGTCCCTTGAGTAGTTGTCTCAAACTTATCGATTTAGATGAGATCAAACCTGAAGAGATGATGGAAACCTGTGCGGCGTCCAAGCCGTGAGAGATAACGTTTACTCGTTTATGGTACAACATAACAGCTCGGGGTTTTGAACCCTAGCAATGACAAAGACAAATATAAATCCCAAGTGATCTCGGACTGAAACAAGCGGCACGAGCTGCTTCTTGCCTTGTGCAGCACATTTCGGATCCGTTACACTTTTGCGGTATGCACTTGGTTTGTTACTAATTCAATACCAGGACCTATTGTAGCTTATTACTTCGAATTTCACGACTTGGTTTCTTTACCAGCCTCCATACCCGATCAATCGGTTCTTCTGTTTGAAGTTTCACCCCTACAGTCATTCGGCCACTGATGTGCATGGCAGAAAAGGACGATAGAAATTTGTATATGACATTACCGAACTGGGTACTTTCGGACAGTACAAACCTGTACTTCGGTTCAATATTGGATATTGAACTGTCCCCCATAAACGGCTATTCCGGTAAAGAAAGTATATCTTAGTGGATATAATGATTCCCAATGTCACAAAACGGAGCTGGTTAGACACGTCCGTATCGGGAAACTTAAGTGTTCTGAAAAGTCATAAACCGTATTTCACCTTGCAACACTTACTGCGGACTCTGACGATTCATCTCTTTCCATGGGAGAAAGCAACATGCGACCGGGTATGACCAAGCTCGATTTCGCTTCCGGTTTTGGTGAAATCGACTCTTTGGCCATTGGTTTACTTTCCTGAACAGGCAACCACGGCAGCCGACTCAGGCGTAAGCGTAACTGAGCCGACAACCCGTAGAATAGGCCGCCCGACGTCTGGGCCTGCCCAAGTGGACTGTCTAGTTGATATGGCAAGCACGATAGAAGACGAGCCAAGAAATGGTTTCTTGAAAGCTGAGTCACTGAGGCAATAGAATCCGGGTTGGACTGGGGCGATTCGTAAAGCTACATTGAAAGCGTAGGTTGCAAAGAATGTAGCTAGCCGCACGTTTCGGTATAATGAATGAATAAATAAATACACCAAGAGAAAATCCACGTATCCTAACTAGAACGACAACAAGTGATTTGACTGAAATTCCTGTTATTTCAGTTGTTAGAAAACGTGTTAAACGCTGAAGCCATGGAAACGGCTCATTGGGTAGACCGGTTGCCCTCGTGGTAATCTCCAGTTGGCAGGAGATGAAGACCGACCGCTTTTGCTGATAGAGTAATAATCATCAACTTATGTCTGTACTTCCTTTTACTGAATACAATTTTACGTTCAACTTCAAGAAAGAGTTGGGACTCAGCCATTCAGATGCTTGGGAACAGAGAAGGAGAAAGTCGGGTATCAGTGGTAAAATCGAAACTCAATACCACTGGGTTGGTGTGATGGTGACCTTCACCACCACTATAGACGACAGTGTACCCCAGAAACAGCAAGAGGAACGATAATAAGACGAAAAATGGACAGGATACTATCACGTCTTACGTAATATCACTCACCTCCACTGCTTCTTCGATCATGTGGGCGAAGACATTGGGAATTTGACCGATAAGCCACTGATTCCATGCGCTCGTACCGTCCACATCTTCCCGTGAAGAAGTCAGATCGAAATCGGCTATTTGAAGAAAGAAATTGGAAGATCGAGAACACGTCAGTGGTTGGAAATTCAGGAACACCGATCGCTCCGTTTGAAAAGTGCTAATTGCGAAACGTCGAAGGGTTAATTACGATGATCCTCACACAACGCATATGTGAACAATAGAGCAAATCGCTTTTCACTCGTTTGGAGATGTGTCTGACGAACTACGTTCAAACTCTCGAATAAGGATATCAGCTAATCACCCTCTTGTACTGACAGTGCTGGCAGCGAAGCAACAGGGCCACACGCCAACACTGACCGGGTAGATGCGCCATCGATCAGTAGCTCATTTAAAAAGATACTTAATTTGGAACTAGTGACACTGACCACGAAAAATTCAGTATGCTGTTGAGCGAACCAGTGTATAAGCCACGTTAGCTCGGAGGCTGTATGATATATTCCATGGGGAATCCAAACCAATGGAGTAGCAAAATGTAAACACAGTCAAACCAAAATATGCACTGGTCTCCGCCATCAGGATACACTTCTATCAGTGGAAAACAAATAGTTCACTGAAGCACAGCGTAAATGATTGGCGGATGAGCGGCTTTGTTGTGATCTTTTAAAATACAATTATATAACCTACTGATTCGGCCAGGCAGTTGTTTTTCGTTCGATTATCGCTACATAGTCATTGAGACATTAATTTCTCTGTGTTTCGTTCCTACTGCTATAATTCCAAAAGACGGTGCAGGTCGAGGATAGTCATTTATTGCCAATAACGTCCGAGATATGGTTAAATTGTCATTCATACAACAAAATATCTCACGGTTGCAGAATTACCATCCGCACACAGGATAGTTGATTCACCATTAGATGCGCATTCTTGTATTCACCATACCGAACATCAGCAGTTTGCTCCAACGGGTCTTGTTGATTTTTGGTCGTTGAACAAAACCGCTGATTGCATCGGTTTGCGCACTACTCACAAGTGAGTGGTACCTCACAACACTCCTCCCCTCGGCGGAAGGGATTTCTGCATGTCTTGATCAGTGGACGACGGTTTCTTGGATTGTGCCCGCGTTTGTCTCCGATTTTCGACGTTGGTCGGTGTCATGTCTGACCTTGTGTAATTGGATTCTGGAATTTGTTTTGTTGGTTTACGGCGTGTGCTGTACGTTTCCTCATGCCACGTTGCGAGACTGTTCCAAAGTACACGACGGACTTCGTTTATCCGTTGAATTTTTTACACGGGATGGCGTTGTTCAACTATGCGGTATGGACCTTTCCATTTGGGAATTACCTTCCTCGAGCCAGGACCGCTCGCGAATCCCCCAACATGCTACTTATACTTTAATTTAGATCCAACCGGAAGCACACTGGTCGTCCGTCTAGTTTGTAACCTAGACTTGTGCAGTGTAACCTCCTGCGCCTTCTTCAGGTTATTCCGGGCTTCACGTCTTGTTTGTTGAAGTTGTTACGGAGATAAATCGTTTCGCGGCCAAATGCCAACGGTGAGATCCACTGGCAGCTTCGGAATTCTTCCATACATCAGTTGAAACGGTGTATGTTTGGAACTGGCCTGCGTGGTCGAGAGGTGAGCCAAAAGTAGGGAAGGTAGGGCCGATTCTCAATTCTCTCCTTTCACTGCCAGCCATTCTTTGATTGTTCTGTAATTGCGTTCCGTGAGGCCGTTGGTTTGTGAGTGATAGGACGTTGTGCGTATCCTTTTGATGCCTAATTTCTGTAAGCACGTGCGAAATTTATCACTGTCAAAGCACGCGCCTTGATCCGTAAGGATGGAGTTCTTGGTCCTTGCGCTGTTCCTTCACCAATTCGTGCGGAACTTGTCGGAATCTGCAACATGATTGATTGTGAAGCCGTACTCCTGAAGGCGAAGCGCCCATCGGGCTAGTTTTCCTCTCGGGTCCTTGGTGGTTTTAATCCACTCCAGCGGCTTGTGGTCCGTTTCTATAAAGAACCTTTGACCCAGAAGGTATGGTCGCCACTTATCTACGGCCCAAATGATTGTAAGACATTCTTTTTCCGTGGTTGAATATTTCCTTTCCGTTGGAGTGAGGACCCTGCTTGCGTATTCAACCACTACATTTGCTTGTCTGAGGACGGCTCCCACGCCAACGTCAATGGTATCCGTTACCAATGTAAAGCGCTCGCCAATCACCGGCAACTTCAGCGTCAGGTGTTGTTTGGTCATGATCCTTTGGAGTTCATTGAAGGCTTTCTGGACTTCTGGTGTCCATCTGAAGCGATATTCTTTCGTGAGCAAGGCGTATAACGGTTCAGCGATATTCGTTAAGTTTTTAATGAACCAGCTATAGTATGCGGCACAGCCCAGAAACCGTTTTAATGTTCTTTTCGATGTTGGGCATGCAAACTCCTTTGACTTGAGGATCTTCTCAGTAAGTGGCCTCACTTCTCCGTTTCCAACCTTGTGCCCAAGTAAAGTCACTGTCGGCTTCCCAATCGGGGACTTCGATCCATTAATCCGAAGGCCAGATTCTTGGATTCGTTTCAGGACAGTTTCCAAGTGGAATATGTGTTCGGTTGTTGTTTTGTTGTTGTAGACAAGATCATCACCATACACCACCACTTTGGGAACACCATCGAGTAAATTCAGCATGAGGAGGCGGAATGTAAATGGTGCTCCTGATAGTCCGAATGGCATCCGTTTGAACTGGTATTGTTTATTGCCGACTGTGAATGCCGTTTTCTCTCAGTCGGTTTTCTTTATTGGTACTTGCCAATATCCCGAACGTAGATCCATCACTGAGAACACTTTTGCGCTTTGCAGTTGGTCAAAAATCTCTGCCACAGTCGGGACTGGGACTGGCTTGTTTATAGTCACAGTGTTTACTTAGCGGAAATCCACACAGAACCGAAATTTACTATTGGGCTTTTTCACCAGCAGCACGGGCGAGTTAGGCGAACTTCGAGTTTCTTCAATGATTCCTTCCTTCAACATTTGTTCAACCTGTCGCTTGACTTTATCCTCCAAGTATAGTGGAATTCGGCGTGAAACATGGGCTGGAAATTCTCCTATCTTCCTTGGAATTTCGTGTTCGACCCAGTTACAGAACCCGTACGGGTCATCATCGCCTGTGAACAGATGGGAGTATCGTTGCATCACTGGTCGAAATGATGGCGACACATTCGTGTGAGTTGTGTTTACGGCTCATAACCTCTTCCTTTTGGAGCGTGACAGCGGGATCGCGCCGAATTCGGTTACAAGCCATTCGTTGTTCAGATCAACCACGGCGCAACATGTCTGCCCCACTATAGTCTGGCTCGTGTGTTTTGTTATGACAAATGGGTGCTTCATTATATCGTTTCCAACACGGACTGTCCGTTTGGCTACTCCGTCTACCTTCAACTGGTAACGCCCGACTGTTTCCATCGGTGTATTCCATGTTTCCAGGCGCTCATTTGCTTGGTGCCTAGCCAAAGACACTGCCACACCTGTATCGATCAAGCATAGTTCTCTGTGCCCCTCGATCTCCAACTTGGCCTGTACTGCCCTGCAATCTACTGCTCCAATGATCGTTCTGTTTGAGAGAAAACGTATGTACGGAATCAATCGTGCATTTGAAGAAAATTTATGATATCTATCAGGAAAATTTCACCGGCAATGGCCTCGCCTGGCACAATGCAGACATACATTTGTGTTTTTCTTCTGTCCAAGACTTGATTTAAGTGCTGCCACTTCCCCTGTTAGTCTGTGCAATGTGGTCTTCACCTCTTCCGGTAGGTTACCATTTTGGACTTCATGCGTTCGTACCGCAGCAACTTCCTGATCGATGAACTGCCTCACAACTTCGGCTAGCGTCATTACATCCATGGTACGCACCACATCGATGAGTATCGCTTTCTCGCGCATGTATTCCGGGAGGCTCTCGGTGAAACGGTCGAGTAGTTCCGAGCGCGCATTCTCATCCAATGTCGGTAGTGCACGATCTAATAGGCAGTGCAGGGCCACGGCATGCGAAAGTGGGTCTGCACCGATTCTGAGTTGCACCATCCTGAACCGCCGGAATGCCTCCTGGCGGTCAGCCGGGGTGTCGAAATCCGCGATCAGGGCGTCTTTCGCTGCGGCCTACTCCATTTTCTCCGGGCCTCTTTATGCCGTGTTTAACATTGCTCGTGCACGGCCCTTGAGAAGTGCTCGGAGGGCCGTCAACTTGCCGCGGTCCGTCCGTATTCCGGCCAGTCCAGCCACATCCTCGAATTCCTCCAGGAATATCCGCACGTCTCCATCCTAGAAGACTGCTGGCCATGGGACCTTCATCCTGATCCTGGCGATGGCACCAGTTGTTATTTATAAGGCCCCGCTAGGTTAAGCGAAGTTTTTATTCGGTTGCAAGCAAAGCCGCTAACCACCAAAATATACAGTAGCGCAGATCTCTATCCCCTGGAAATAGTGCGTGTGTTGTACTGAATCGAAAGCCTGAATGAAACAAGCAGGATGTCAACATAGCGCATAATAAATACGGAGACAGATGACGGTGAATGGCGCGATAAAGATCCCGCTCAATACCACGATCAAGTTAAAATTTTGGGCTAGTGTATTGCTCAGACGCACACGCCCGAATGTGTGCACGAGTTGATGACAATCAGTGAACTGCTTTCCNGTAGATGACTCAATGATGTGGTAATGATATCAATTATGTGGTAATTTGTACGAAAATATTGCTAGACAAAGTTATCAGCAAAGTCTGCGTTGACTCTTTCAGCGGTACCAACACTCACCATTGATGTAGAATGCAAATGCAGATTCGCGTACAGGTAGATAGGCAAAGATGGCGCATTTGGGCAATGGTTCCCGATCTGTTAGCGAGACCGCGATAGAGATTTCTGTATACCTGGGTGCTGACTGAAATAAACAGAAGTTACGTGCGAGTATAACCAATCATGAAGAAACAAACGATGGAAAGAAACCAAAACAACAAATGGATTACTGTACAGCGGGAGCACTGGCTGCGGAAAGATCAAGGAAGAACGCTCATCTAGTCTAGATTG